AACACTTTTGATTTCCCAATGTGCTTCGCGCCACCACAGCGAAACAGACCCCCTAAATCAATATTAGCCAAAATCCAAAAAACTATTTCAAGGTCCTTCCGCCTAATTATCTTGAGGGTGGTTCACCTCTCAGAGCCTCAGAGGAGCCACTTTGTAAAGGACATGCCATGGGATAGACTTGCAACAACTGGCTGTTGAGCTTCGTGCAAACCGCACGCAACACAGCTAAAATAGATTCAAATTGATCGAAACCACCAACATTGATGCCAAGAAAACAGGCGCTGGTAATTCTGAACACTGATGACCACAAACCAGCAATCCTGCGATAGGCTCAACAAAAAAAAACACGAAATATATAATATTTTTTTTAGTTGTTTGGCACCTGACCCCTTGTTGGAAATTCATTTTGATGGGGTCCGACCCCGGTAAAATAATTTTCAGCAACGAAATTATTTTTGCATGGTTTGACCTATGCCAGAAGTATATGGTTCTTGCATGAAATTGATAACTATTTCTATAAAATATGTTGGTTCGTGATCCCCCGCTGAAATAATATAGCTAAGGTAGCAGTGATATGATACATATATGTGCATATATATATAATGTATTGTTACGTCAAAAAAACAAACACACTATATTAATGTAAATATAATATTATATAATATACATTATGCATGCATATATGCATGTCTGCTGTATGCATCTATGCATCTATGCATCTATGCATCTATGCATGCAAAGATGTAGGGATGTAGCATATATATAGGTACGTAGCTATGTAGGTATGTAGGCAGGTTAGGTGTAAGGTATGTATAAACTTGATTACATAATATGACAGGCTAGTTTGCTTGCACACATCCAATCGCACATATACAACGAATATATGATCTTATCCACCACGAACACAATCTTCAGCCTAGTTACAAACAAAGTTGTTTGTTTAGGTCCGGTGTTCTCTGCTTGTTGTCAAAAGTCCAAGGCCCTATCTTGTCATGCTGGTCATGCCGGTCATCTTATACACTTGGCATTGAACCATCTCATTTTGGGCATGCCAAAACTTTGATGCATACCCCAATGGTGGGCAAATGCTGCTCTGAAAATAGACATCTAAACAAACATGAACAAACCATCAAATGATCTGAACATGGATTGGTGGTGGATTCAGGGGATGGATTTAGATGGATTTCAGTCACTTTTCTTTGATGCAACTTCCCTAAGCCAGCAGGAGACTGACATTGATGTAAATTTAGTTTCGGACAATTCAATCGGCTTCGAAACCGAACCTTTCAGCATCAGAATTTGGCCCTCGAACAAAGCTGTACATAGTTGAAAGCACTCAAAGAACAAGGTCCCAAAAAACACAACACCTGGCTGCTTGAACAAATGAATCATCTCGATAATGACCTACGAAATCGTGAAACAACCTGTTTTTGAAACCACCCAACCGTGCTTTGGGGGAAAATCATAGAGTGTCGTCTGTGCCTATTCTCAGTTTATATCATCAATTACCTATGGTCGTTCCATGATTCCTAGGGGTTTATATTATCAACTACCTATGGTAATTACCATCAATTTATGGTTGTGAAGGACACCCCTGGCCTGTGTGAATCTTGTATGCCAAGCCCGCCGTCTTGAGCCTCGATGAAAACATGGACGCCCAAAAAAAGGCAACGGACATCTTTTCAAATGGACGGAAATGGCGACGCATTTTTCTGTATATGTGTGTATATTATTAACATATATATATATATTAAAATAATCCCTTCTCCCTATGGCCCTATTACTAAACGTAGCCCGAATCTTAAAAACTAGGGTTTGTTTTCAATTTTGGGAAATTTGAAGTTGGTCAATTTGATGTTTAATTTATCCCCTTCAGAGGAGGAATTAAAAATGAAGGTCCCATTGAGGGTCTCACCACCTAATAATAAAAACATATAAAAACTAGTCAGTGGTGTTTTTTCTTAATAATTAGGGTCCGTCCTTTACAATCGAAATGTTTTTTTTGATGTTATAAAATATAATTCATTATTAGGGGAACCTTTGAAATCCAATTTCTGGCAATATTTTAATTAGATTTTAAACATCAATTTATATAATCGATTTTGAAATATATGTTTGTCTTTCTTTACTACGGTCTTTAATTTAGTATTTGGGGGAAGCTTCGCTAAATACCACCTAATACTAAAACTCCCAAAAAATTAGGGGGAAGAGATATTTTAATATTGCTATTAGTATTGTTGTTATTATATATATATAATTATGTGTGTGTGTGCATGAATAACTTTACCCCTAAACCCTAAACCTTTTCGGGCAATTGCAGTTTGAAGTTGTCTTACAACATGTTTGTTTCCACAGTCTTCAAGCACGGTCCAGCTCTCTTCAAACATTCGCGAAGCAAGCTTCAGAAACACGCAAAGCACAACATCCACAAACCCAACCATAGCCCCATGAGCCAGAAGCCACACATCCAAAAATCTCAGTGAGATCAGGTGGCTAAGTTTCTGACCATGTCTGGATGTGGGAGTAGTTCAGATCCCATTCATCCCGCGAAACTGCGGACATATAGGGCGCCAATCGCTGTCCGTACAGCTGATCAAAGGATCCCACACGTGCGCCGATGATCAGCAGGAAGGACCTTGTTTTACTGGGAACAAATTAATTAAGACGATAATATCGTAAAAAGGATGATTATGATGTATTCTTGATGGTGAATATGACAAACCATGAAGCTGTTTTTTCCCCCGTGCTTTTCAAAGCGATTTCAAACAAAGACATTAAATTTGAGCTTTTCCTTGCAAAGCTACCACTCGGCCGCACTCTTTTTGCTACCAGGTGGCCGCAAATAGCTTGTGAGTTCAAACCTTAGTTAGGGAAGAGCAGTTGCCAAACGCTGCTGTCACGCACCTCTGGACACCTCTGGCTACCAAGGCGCATGCAGTTGAATTGCTTTCAAGTACACACCACCCAATTGCAGTTTAAATTATTCTTGCAAGTGCGGAACGAGAGTGATGGGTCTATTCTGAGAAGGCGAACTTGGAAGCAGCACAGTCGAGAAGGAAAGCTAGCAAAGGATTTGGAAACTTGTTTGTTGATAAGATCATTCATCATCCATTCAAAAAATACTCTATATGTGGTAAAATATATCATTCAACCCCCAGTCACCCCCTTGTCAATCAACCCGGAGTGATTGAAAGAAAATAAACCAAATGCGTGTAACTTGGCCGACAGGTCACTCCTCGTAGGAAAGTCGAGTCCAGTCCTTGCTGTTCCTCGCAACTGCGTCGATACTTTGAGGAAGAAGTGGGCTTCCACTCGCGCACTTCTTTAGGGTCAGAACCTAAGTCCATCGAGGCAAGGAATGATCCGTAGAAAACGGAACAACGATCACACATGATCATACAATATACGCAACATGTGCATATGATATAATGCTAGTACGGTATATTAATACCTTATGTTATTATTTATTTATATAATGAAATGTCGTCTATCTATTGGTCGACCCATCCATTCATCCTTCCGTCCATGAATCTTTCTCTCTCTCTCTCTCTCTTACAGAGATTCCATCCATATTTAGCCCCCTGGTGATGGGAAAGCCATGAAAATCCCCATTGATAGATGTTTTCCCCATTAAAGCTCCATTGTGGTTAGCCATGGTTACCAGAGGGGTCAGAGCTTGGCCAATGGCGATGCATGTACTGACCTGGAAAGGCTCAGAACAATGAACAATGAACAATACTTGCTGAGGACAGCCGGAAAAACAAATATCTGATTTTGATTAATCTGATTACCCTCTGGTAAATAAACATAGACCCTGGCAGATAGGGGTTGGAAGACTAGTTTCCATTCAACATTGGTGATTTTCAGGGTCTATGTTTATTTACCAGAGGGTAATCTGATTTGGCAATCTGTGACAAGACATCGTTACATCTTCTTACATTCCACGACGTAAAATCGGGAATTCATTCCACGTACCGCAGTATGACGGAGCCTCCATTGAAAATTCTTCCCCCTAAAGCCTACCCCTTAAGCGGAAATCTGATTAGGTTTCAATCCTTGAGGCATATTTATAGAATATCTTAGAATCAGGGCAAAATGCAGGAATCTGAGGCGTGACAAAGGTCGAAAAACGCTTAAAGAACATATTTGCTCATGCACATATTGAATAGTAACTCTATGAAAGGGACGCGATTTGACGCGATCTCTTTAGAATTACCAGGCCCTGTCAGGGGGACGCAATTTGGGGAGCATGCTTGCAATTCGTTGTGTAAAGGGTCACACTTGAAGACCGAATCAAAGAAAAAAGAAAACACAATTGCCTAAACAACCAACCACCTAACTCTTGCTCATTATAGGTATTATGCAAGGGGACCTTGAAGTGTTCTATAGTTTGCTTCTGATATTCAGCAAGACTTGAAGCCAAATGCACAAAGCTCACCATCTTTTTGGCGCCAACCCACCACGCCAGGATGCTATGTAGTGGTTCTGTGAGAGAGTCCGGGCATATGTCAACAGTCCGCATTGCGTCCACTGTGCCATGGATTGCAGGGCGGGAAATCCACTCCAAACCTGAGCATTTTTTGTTCATCGTAGCTGAATCCATTGATGATGGGCCCCATACCGCTCATGGGGATGCTTGAAGGTTTATGAACTCATGTAAGTGTAAAAGTTATAAAGAAATCTGGCTCATGGTACTGTCCTCTCACTGTACGGGACAGTCAAGTGTTACTACACCCATGTATCAGAAAGAACCACGTCATTACTAAAATTCCAAACAAGTCAGCCTATCGCAGAAGGCAGCTGCTGATTGGCCAGTGACACTGGTGGATGACAAAGGATCGGCACCCCTCGGCAGAGCATAAACCTGCGAGTGTTCCAACGTCTTCCATCAAGAGTAGGTATGGGGTCGGTAGCGGAAACAACAACAAACAACAACTACGTGTACTTCTCCTGGGTGCCCACTTCCGATAGAGCAGCCCACTCTGTTGAACTTGGGTAGAAGCTGATCACTTTGACAAGAGATTGTCCAGTCCCTGCCCAATACAATTCGATTTAAGAACTACAACCGGAAATTACCATGAGGTGGACAGGGCCCAACGGCCCAACCCAACAAAATACCATGAGATCAATGGACCCAACATGTTGAAGTGCGCTATGCACAACATCAAACCAAAGGCTGCCAAAAGGCCTCAACAACCCAATGCTCGCAGGTCTAGGGTGTGAAACTAAATGCAAATTATTCATCATGTTTCAAGACTGCTACAGTATCCTCAAAAATCTAACATTCATTACCCAATTTTTCGCTATATCATTGAAAATAACTGGTAGATCTGGTATAATCTGGTATGGGATCATGTTCGTCTCCTCAAATCTGCGATTCAAAGGCCCAAGTTGCTGGAAAGTGTTGGCGCCCACCAATGCGGCAACACATGAGTATGTCTCAAAATTGTACAAAATGTTGTCATATAATTCAATTATGTACTTCATATGCAAAATGCGAACAGTTAAAAAACATGTTATTATGCATAATATATTTTTTTAAAAACACTATATATATATGCAGTATATATTATAATAACAGTAGTTCTTGGTTTATCCTAATTTTCTGCACCTTTCAATGGCTATATAGATTGGTGTTTTTTGTCAGGCCTCCCAGCTTTCAGGCGCCTGAGTAATGGTCAAGGCATTCGGGAGGTGTGGATGCAACGCTGCAGTCATGGCCGTTGCCAGTGATCTCAAGGTAGAACTGACCGGCACGAACAAAATCGTGGACCTGGCTGCGGCGTTCGATTCTGACCTGAAGTCCTGCGTTCGATTCTGTCCATATCAAAATGGACATCTAGAAAACAAATACATGACGAATGAAAACAAATTACGCTGCTGCTGCATGTCAGAGCATAAGTGGGAAATCATGAATGGAAAGCTTTGTTGCGAATAGAAACAGGCATTTCCACTTCCATCACCACTAGAGTATTCGGCTGATCTCCTCCAAGTTAAACAGCTGAACGTGTTCTGCCCGCGGAAGAGAGTTCCAACATATTCCAACTAATTATCTGTCACGGTTTGCAACCTCTGCCACCCATGGTGGATGCACATTTGCCCACATATCCTCATAAAATATTCCAAAACTTCAGCCCGTCACTGACCAATCTACGGGGATTTAGCCACTCGGCGACCTCTTGTTGCTGATGGTTCCTGTAGAACGCCACAACTGTCTGCGATTGTACAGGAATCTGCACGCATGCCCCAAATGTGTAAACTGCAAATCATATAAACATATGTATATGTAACGGGCTTCTATGCACACATAAAAACATTCACACACACAAAACAAGTATCTCAATTCCAAAACAAAGATATATTTATTTACACCTGTATATATATATATATATATCCCGTGTCTGCGTGCTGATCACATGCATTATATATGTATGTATATATATATGTATATGTATATATATATATATGTATATGTATATATATATATATATGTATATGTGTATATATATATATGTATATGTATATATATATATATGTATGTATGTATGTATACACAGGTTGTATAAATGCGGCCACGTGCTCATACTGTCCATATTCACTGGTAACTGGCGAATCCCTTCGTTTCCCGCATCCAGGCGCTGGGATTCTGCTGGGAAGTTCTTGCGGACAAGGACTCGGACGTTGTGGGGCCCGACTATGGACACCTGCAGCGTGCGAAGGGCCCTGGGCGGGACATCTTCAGTGATGCGCCCCAAGTCCAAAGATTACGATGGATTGCGCATGCAATTGACATCCCCAGTGTGTGTATATATATATATATTGTATATATATATATATATGTGTGTGTGTTATATATGTGTTATATATGTACATTTTCCAGTTCATAGGGTTGTATGTGGGCTCCAAAATAGGTATAGTATGGTAAGGGTGTGGTAAAGGTATGGTAGAAATGGACTGACGGACATGCCAATCACCACGGTTATCTACCATGTTTTTTCTACCATGTGAATGGGGTAAAGAGTAGCCGATTGTCCCTGGGAGCAGGGCAAATCACCATGGTATCGAAAGATTATGTACTTTGACAATGGTAGCCTCTGACGTCCTTGGGCCTTCCAAGCATTCTCAAACAGAGTTCTTGGCACATTGTCCAACAAATGGCGTGTCTTACCAATGACTTGAGATTGAATATTCAATAACATCATGAAACTGATATGTGTAGAAACGCAGTTCTTTATATTTGGAAAAATATTAACCAATATTCTGCCGGCAGTCACATGGATGAACGGTTTGGAAAACCATTTTTTCCGCACTTCCATGAGGTGCTTAAACTGAATTCATGGCAGGATGAACACATGATTGACAACACCTATTTCAGACAAGGAATGCCACCAAACCGTCGACATACTGCAAATGCGAATTGGTCGGAAAATGAATGTCAACAAATGTCACCAGTATACTTCATACCTCCAGTCTTCAAAGAAATCAAGTGTTGGATGAGTTTGGTGCCCCCCATGCCAAGAAACACCATTCAACATACATAATACATACATAGCTATATGTATATATATATAATATGCACATATCATATATATATATATGTATATATATATATATATACACAGTATATCCTAGGGTATATTTGAATAGATGTGCAACAAAAAAACATTGTTTCTACAGGAACATTATCTATACATAGTGGATTTTCCACATCTATGTCATGTCAGTTTCCCCTATATCATATATATATATATTTATTGGTAAATAAATATATAATATATATATAATTATATATATACGTACATATTTTGCCCAGAACTGGAAGATGTCCACATAAGGGCCCTTCTGTCAAGGCTCCCGATACCACGGCGATGTTTCTTGAAAGGCCAACTGAACAGTCGCGTCACCCGGTGCATGCACCTCAATCACCTGGACATGGTGGCGACATGGCCAGGGTGTCATCAAACATGGCTGGGAAATCCCCAGCCAAATGGATGTTCTAATAGTAAAGTCATCTGTTTCTCTGCATATATGATATGCATATAAATATATATATATATATGTATAATATGCCGGAAATTGTCCATTGCATGGTTGATTATTATATGATATTATGAGTCACAACACCCGAACCAGGATGAACATCAAAATGGCTAGTGAAAGGATGATCATACCTCCATAATACAATGTGGTAGGGTTTAATCTACCAGCCTCCTTATCTACAGGCATGATTGATGCATTCTATGGGCTTATAGCCTCCTTAGACTTTCCTTGATTGGTTTGTCTTTTCCTTGGGTTTTCTTTTCCGTTGCTTATCCATTGGAAACCAAAAGAAACCAAAGAAAAACCATAGAATCCACCCAGCCCCAAACCAAAGGAAACCAAAGGAAACCGAAGGAAACCAAAGGAAATCAAATCAAAGTAATTTTAGCTAGTTCCTTTGTGTTTCGTGTTTCTTATGTTTCTTTTGGTTTCCTCTCACATGCAAGGGCCATATTTTGGTGCAACCCATGCGTTGGAAAGGTTGACACTGCTAGCTTTTGGCCCATACCTTGATGGAAATGTGAAACACCTGTTACAGAAAACACACTTGTACTGATAGGCGAAAAATAAAACAGAAGAAACCACAAGAAAACCAAAGGTTTTCAGCGGAAAGGGCAGGGTGATCAGAGGAGAACATCGGATCATCTAAGGTAGCCCTGCTGTGAAGGATGCATGTTCCAGTGATGTTACTAAAGAGTTCCTATGATTTAACCCATCTCCATATAACATCTTTATTCAGGGCTTGTTTACCACAAGCACACGTTTATTGGCTTATTGGCCATCTATTCTTAGGGGTCACCTTGCAGGGGTTGGTTAGATTCCCCCGATCAAAGCTACGTATGGCAATGCTGATTTTGTGGATCTTAACGTGTTGGGGTCGGATATTTGGATCCTTATTATCAGGGGAATGGGAAGCACATGGATTACACTCCAGCAATCAAATGCGCCAACAATTGCCTATCTAGTTCGATTTGTTTCCATTGTAACCCCATTTTTGATGGGGATTCTCCCGCTAGCTATGTTTGATTACCAAAGGCGAACAAATGAGCACCTCCACCATGGTGCCGGCCTGAAAGCTCGCTACTACTCTACTTTGACGACGCTGCTCCAGCTTAACGGCCTGCAGGAATGATTGGATGTGAATCCCAGCTAAGAATTGCTGGACCATAAGCGAAATATGATAATACACATGCATATATATATATATATTCTATATATATATATATATATCATGCATCTGACTGGGGGATGCTGGGGATCTGACATATTTGACAGACTGGTTCATCTACTACAAATGCTAACACCATCATTGTGAAGCACTGATACACTAGTGGGATGCACAGGCTCACTCCACAGCTGTTCAGAACAGGGCTGCTTGTTGACATGCAATATCTGCTGTCTATGTTCACATATACATGGATTCCAAACACGCAAACTACATTGGCCACTTCAGGGCCAAAAAAATATGATTTCATTCCTTTGTCTTCGCCTTGGTTCAAGAATAAAAATGCAATATTAACAACATGTCAAGAAACACACACACACACACACATATATATATATATACTATATATATATATATATAGATATACTATATAAATATATATGTATATATAAACCGTTGTTCTTGCCATGACTTGCACAGGCCCCAACAAATCCCTGAAAAATCCAAATCCCTGAAAAATCCACTCTCGGAGCGAATTCAGGAGTTGCTGGTGGTTGGGGGTCTTTAATGGTTCCCACACTTGTGTGTATCCCATGCATGTGGATGTTGTGTGTATGTATGCAAACAATGCACAAATCCAAAAATACGTGCATATATACAAATGTCAATGGATTGGTTAAAACAATATGAAACGTCATGAAACCATGGTTTTCCCACCCAATTAGAGGGGTTTCCTGTATTTTCCCGTAAGCCAATCCAATGAACATATGCATTTATGTGCAAGCAAATGTTCGTCCAGCTGTTCATTTACTTGTCGCTCAATTTTGTCCCATGCATTCATTTATCATTTAACTTATCCATGGAGCTATTCATGGACAATAACTAATGTAGAATTACACATAAAATCATCCACGTCTAGGTCATTCTAGATCAATGAACACAATAATGATGCAAAAGACCATGCAGAAACCGTCTTGCAAACCCCGAAACACTTGAATCCTATGGAAATAGTGGCAAATTAGTTTGAGGTTTCAATCTTTTTGGGGTTTGCTAATGAATGATTATACCATTATACCATATTACACCCTCTGTTAAATCAACATAACCGTGAAAAATTGCCATTTATAGTTGAATTACACATAAACATGCTGATTTTGCATAGCCTTTGTGAGTTCAGCAAAGGGAATGTCATCGAATTGGGAGCCCATCCGCCTTGGCTATCGCCTCGGGTAACGGCCACAGATCATTAGCCTGGATGGCTGTGTTGATGGGCCCTTGAACCCTGAAAAACCTCGGCCGCGAGGATGAAGCGAGTCGAAGTTTTTCGGGTATAAAACCAGGCATAAGATCATGGATATATATATATATATATTCGGTTATTATGGGACACACTGGGCTACACCAATATCTAAAATTAAACCAATTCAATTGAAGTAAAGATCCCCAACAACATCAGGGACCTCAAATGAACAAATCCAGTACCAATGGAGGGTCTTTTTGGGCATCAAGCAATCCAACAAATCTGACACAATAGACACCACATTCCACCTTAGTTCAGCACAATTTTTTACAACAAAAAAGATGGCCTCTTAACTGACCAAAGGCCCTCTGAAAAAGGGTGCTTGAAGTTCCTATCTGCTCTGATGTTCACATTCTAGAAAAATAAGCTCGAAGAAATTTGGCAATCCCAAAACCTGGAGCTGTAATGACCTAATTGTCAGGCAAGCTGGCAAAGGGAAAATGTATAGTTTCGATTGGTAAATCATGTTGAAATCATCTATCAAGGACAAACATCCACTACCAGCTTGGATTGCAGGGAATACCAGGGAATCCAAATCCCCTGCTGTATCATAGGAACCAGCTGCTTCCCTTTTGCATGCAGGAACCTGACACCTGGTGCGGACGCAGGACAGAAGGTAAATTGGGCCGTAACCTTACCCATTTGTTGATCCGGAAGATAATGATCAACCATGGGAACTATATCAAAATCATTCAAAATCAACACCTTGCATTCGTAAAATTGAATGTGGTACCTAGAAACGGGGTTCCACTCTATGCCAGTTTTACTCTCTCTCCCTCTCTCTCTCTCTCTTTCTCTCCATCGCCTTCAGACCAACTGTTCTACTACTGGATACGCTCCTTTGGGGATTCCATATGAAATTATAAATGTGTGGGATGTAATAAGCCTGGTACACTGTGGTACTGGTACCCTTGAACGGGGTTGGCATGCCAGATCCTCCGTGAAGCATCCCTTTTTGGAATGGGGTATATAATGTACATATAATAATGTACATATAATATATACAATTATATACCTTCCCACCATTGTCAATTACAGTATCCTTGGTGGATTGTTGGCTCTATCTCCATCTGTCCCTATGGAGATCCTTCTGGGTCCTCATAGGAATGTCACCCATCCCTATAGGTTCATATATTCCTTTTTGGAATATAGGCAATGCGACACTGACCAAGTTGCCAAACCCAGAAGATTATTCTCACTAAAATGGTGACTCGATCTGCTTCTCAAATGGCACACCAGGCACACTATCCCGGGTTGATATCAGAAATAAGGTGGTAAACACAATAATCACTAATCCCAGTAACCAACCATTTGGAGGTCTTAATAGGTATGGGCCTGGCCTCTGTTAACATTATATATATATATTATTAATATAATAAAATAATGTGCACATGGACATGGCCGCCGTTCAAATTATTTGTTTAATCTAAAATCATATATATATAATAACAGTAATAATAATGACAATAATAATACTATATATATATATTATATACAATAAATATCATAATGATTTGCCAATATCACCAAACCATTGCTACACTGTAAATCTGGCCAAAACGATAAAGTTGAAGATCCACTAACAAAAAAAAACACAATGGGAGAATGGGATAGTTAGACCACAGAATCCTTGCCTCGTCAGGTCGATGTTGCGGATATCGTTCCCATCCCAACTCCTGGGCACTTTCACCGTCAGCAGTCCAAAAATGTTGCTTCCATCCAACTGAACATGTTCAGATTCTCAGATTTTTCAGAAAACTGGGTCATTCATGGTAATTCATGGTAATTACATGATATTTTCCGACATTCTAGTCATTCTACCTGCATCCCACTGCATTGCACCAAGTTGGAAATCCAAGTTTCTTGTTGAGCCTCCGCAGCCACTTCTAAAAGAACTCGCTCCATGCATTGAACCCAAGCAAGCGCGCACAGCGGCGCACCGCTTGTGCTGGGGCTTACACAGCAAAGAGCTGAGAACCGCTGAGCATCGAGGGTCGGTTGTGGACATCTGTAACCATTAATTAAGCATCAATTAACCAATCATTAACCAATAATTAACCATCCTGATTCTGAAAACTGGCAAACACATCCAAAAAAGCCAATGCCGGGGGCTGTGTTGATGCAATATGATGCAATGCATCCTGATTCATGTGCTCGACGAGAGTGGCTGAAGATGCGGCAAGTCACCAAGACACTGGTTTTCAACTGTTTTAACACTTAACTGAGTATATGATGTCACAGTAAGTAAGGGCCACAGGAGGGGTCAAAGTATGGTCAGAAGCTGCCGCACTACATTGGGCTGTTCATCAGGCTTTGGCTTTGACCAAGCTCAAGTCTGATCACAATCTATGATAATTTTATATAATTATCTGCCCAAAAACACACTGCCTACTTTTGTTTTAAAAAAAGTTCGGTGCGACGCACGCTATGTTTTTTGATCTGCCCGAGACGTGTCCAAAAATAATAATCCCCACCTGCAAACTCGTCGAACGGAGTAGCGGAGTAGCGGAGTAGCACCAAAGACAATGGCTACTGTGCCAGTTGATGGCACTGAAGTGTCTTGGGTCATCTCATTCCCTGCAGTAATTGCCAGCAGCAAAAAGCTATCCAAACATATCCAAGGTGCATCAAACAAATAGGGATAGGGTGGCAAATTGTGGTAAGCTATCCGCACTTCTGCCTGCAACACTGCCATGAGCTCATCAGCATCATGGTCTGAATTCTCAACCATTTCAAGTACTTGAAAAACATGCTGAAGCTTGGCAAGTACCTCTCTCCACTGCACTGGAACTTTCCTCAGGCTCCCCAAGATTAGTTCACGAACGGGGGTTCACTGCTGGGCCATCCCCTGCCATTCAAAAGAGAGTCCCAACCACTGAGAAACCCTGCAACCAAGCAGGCCAAAGACCAAATGTCGCTTGAAGCTGTTGGAATCACTCCCTGGCTGATCGCAGGGAGTCCAGATCCTTTGGCCCTAATTTACCACTTTAATTGGGAACATGATCAACAACCTTTGGATTTGAGATGATTTGAGGGTATCTTACGGTATCTCCAGCTCTTGAACATACCCACGCTAATGGCTGTCAATTTCAACCGGTTATTCATGGAATTGCACCTGGGCAACCTGCTATGACGCGTTTCATGCTGAAGGTTTTGGAATCTGCCCCAAAGGTCACATGAGTATGGCACAAATATCGCAAATCCTGTTGGAAGCAGCACAATATAGCACAATCATGCACAATCATGCACAATCGCCAAACCACTTTGGTTAGAACACAATTCCAGCCTCCTAAATTCACCGAAATAATCAGTGTTCATCAAACTCTCTCTCTCTCAGGATGTTTTTCCAATTTTGATCTGTTTCCTGGCTCGCGATCCATTAATTAGGCACCCAGACTATATTGACTGGTGCTTTGGAATCCTGAAGTTCTAAAATGTGAAAGGGAAGAGATGATCAAGGCCCAAAACGGCTATGGATCAGTCAAAACCATTCAAAACGCTGGACCCCCCTGGAATCCACACACAAATAGCTGCTATAGCTGGATGTTCATGCACCCATGACATATCAGTTTTCAGGGTTGAGCTGTTACTTGGGGATGGTAGTAATCCATCCCATGAGCAAAACACAGCCATGAAATACATTTCGAAAGCATCCTAAAATCTCGGCAAACCCTCCGGTGATTCGTAAACGTCGCAAAAATGTCAAAACACAAAAAAACACAAATGACTTTACTTCGAGTGATCCCCACCGTGACAAATGATTTTGTCATAGTTTCTGACATCTCATCTGGAAGTATATATGAGCAATCTCGGAAACTCTAGGTTCACTTAAAGGACATCCACGAATTTGGAAAGGTCCCATCGCTTACCACACGTTTGCACAAAAATGATGTTGATATATAGCAAACTTCGGGGGCATTTTATCTGACATTCTATCCTGGCATCCTTTCTGGCATCTATTCTGACATTTTCTCTGATCTGGACGGACGGACGGAGGAAGGAAGGACGAAGAGGCGGAGGAAGTAACTCTGATAAAATCTAGAAACCCTCGCTTGGCAGGTGGGGAAGAAACGCCTCAATAATGATCTCAGTAATGATCTCAATAATGATCTCAATAATGATCTCAATAATGATCTCAATGTTCAAACATGCGAAGCGCTTTTGCAGTAGATTCCTCATGATCAACAAACCATCCATTGCTTTCACGCCTGTAGCACCTCAGGAGCCATCCATGGCACAGCTGACTGGGACAAGGCCTGGACCGGGATGGCAAATTGAACATGGTGAAGCCTCCAATTTATGGGGATTCAGCAAACATATAAATAAACAAATATATATATATATATGTACAGTATATATGTGCGTGTGAAATATTATATATATATATTATATACATTAAATATATAAAATTATATACCTATATATATATATATCTGTGTGTGTATGCAAAACGCAACTGCAAAGTATGGGGTGAACCGATTAGAAAACCAACAAT